CACTCATGGTAGTCTCGCCTTCCACCCGAGGCCCGTCCACGCAGGAACGGGGCGAGAGGGGCTTACACGCGACTGGAGGCAGGCTGCCCATTTCCAGAGACCCTTGATCCGGGTGCCCAAGCGAGCACATTCACCTATGGGGTTTACACCCGACCCTCCTTTCATCAGCCGCTCCAACTTCCACCCCTCTCGGTGCAAAAGAGGAATCTCCGTCGGGGGAGAGCGCTGCGAGCCCGGGGATAGCCTCCAGGGGAGGCACAAACACACGCCGCCCCGTCCCCTTTACGCTCACCTGGTCTCCTGGTTGCTGAACTTCTTCGTCACCACCTTCCCCAGATCCAGCCCCAGGCGATCAGCCACGCGCTGGGACAGGTCCTGGTGGGAGCTCCCGCTGAAGAGCACGATGTTGGGCATGGCTGGGCACGGCGGGCCGAGATGAGCCACGGACGGGCAGGAGAGGGGGGACAGAGCCACGCGCGGAGGAGAAAGAGAGAGCGGGCGCGCGCCTCAGGCCGACCAAATAACCGCGGCCCCGCCCCCTCCCTCGCGGAAAGCGCGCCAGAAGGCCGCCCTCTTCTCTGCCCGCCCTCATCACTTTCCGGGCCGCGGCCGCCGAGACAACGGGACGGAGTGGGCGGAGCCAGACCCCGGCGACGTTCCAGAAGGGCGGGATTCGAAAGGGGAAAGAAAGGTCGTGTGGGGGAATAAGCCTAGAGATAGAAAAGTGTCGCGCATGTGAGGTCACAATCCCAGTTTAAACCGTCTGCGTCGAAGGCTTCGTGCTTGAAGAACTTGGGGGGAGGAAGACTGTCCTTGGCTCAAATCGTTTGGCAGTTAACGTCGGGAAGTGTGCCTTTTAGGACAGCATCGCTCTTCCTTTTTCTATCTCTATGACGAGAGGGAGGCATTATGGATGGAAAGGCGGGGATGATGGGAAGGAGTTCCTGGTGGATGGAAAAGGGATTCTGAGAAGGGAGGGCGCAGTTTGGGTTTCGCCGTGGACGTCCTGCTGTGTCACGGAGTTGTTCCGTGCTAACTGCGGCCTCGCACTTCTGCTGCTGTTAAGCTGCTCGTAATTCAGGAATTCTGTACAGCTGAAGTGTGCTGTGGTGTAGTAGGGCAGGCTACCAGATCTGATCTGCAAAAGCCTGGAGGTCCTATAGATGGCTGCAGGGGTCTCTCCAAATGTTTGGAGACCAGCTCTGGTAGCCCTACGTTTACATTTTTATTTACTTTTTATTTATTTACATGTTTTTATCCCGTCCAAGTCCACATCACTTAGGAATCTTCTTCAGAGTATAAACCTTTGCTTTGGACGAACTAAGGAATCAGAAGTTACTGATTTTATATATTGACTTCATACTGAGGTTTGTTGGTTTGTTTATTTATTATTAAATTTGTATGCCGCCCATCTCCCCCTAATGGGTGACTGGGCGGCTCACAGTTAAAATCAAAAACCCCATCAACAATTAAAAATCCCCCATAAATAG